TACTGGCTTCCAAAAACCGCAAAATATTTGGGTGGCGAAAGCGCTGAGCCCATATAGTCTTCGCCAAAGTTTTCAGATCTATTTACAGTGGAACCTCTATTAAACGAAGTCCTTGGTATAACGAACAATATTCTCTGCCCCAGTAATATTATGGAAAAAACCCCCTGATATCCTGATATATTGATACCTCGTTAAAGTGAGCATATTTTGCCAGTCCCGTGGGCCTTCGTTATATCTAGATTCCACTGTAATACTTCAGGCTTAATTCCTTGGGACAGTTAATCATGCATGCCCATTCTATTTGTAAAGCTGATGTTTTCTGGCTTGATCAGAAATTTAAGTGCCTATGGTAACTTGGCAAATATTCTAAACATTTTTTCCTTTGTGGTATGAATTCGGAAAGTAAGAAAACACACCTTGATCAAAGCAAAAGGGTCAGGTTAGCAGCTCTCGTAAGGTCTCACATGAATGGCTTGGTACTCTTTGAGAGGACAACAGCACAATAACAGCTGCTACATCATGACCAAGCAAAAGAATTACAAGCTTACGATAGCTGCTACACTTCCTTAGCAAAACCCAGCAACAATCAATAGATTTTGTATAACAGTAATTGACAAATGAAATGAACCCATTAGAACGGATGGCGAAGGATGGCCTTGGATGGAATAGGATTGCAACTTATCTTCCAGAAACTGGACAGAAAACTACTTCCAAATGAAGTGTAAACCTTTATTCCCAAAGGTTCATTTGCGATATTACAAAGCAATTAGGTACACTGTCAGTGGGATCTCCACTTTAACAGACATTACAGGGATCATACATATTCATATTCTCAACACCTTTCTGCTGGAAAAGCTGTTAATATTGTATGGCGAATTTTCAACGATGCTGATCACTGACCTCTTTTGCATGGATCGTATCTTTTCGTTCGGCGCCGAACAAGTACCGAAGACTTACCGATTTTTAAGCACCCAGTCGGAAGACTACACGGACATGCTCGAACAAACAGTTAGAGAGTTGGTATGCACGTCCGCGTGTCGTCATAGCAACACGCCACTGTTACTTAGCAACTAATTCATGACAACTATGTAACAGAATTTTTTCCTTGAGACCGTACAGTATCACTAACCCCTCAGAAACATCAACTTTACATTACTTTCAATACCTTCCATCGAACAAGTATGACTTCTAAAATCGAGGCTCCTACAATTATATTTTCTTAATTAACTTTCATTCGTTCAGAAATTTGCGATTGTCGAAGGAACAAGAGATATTTTCGACGGCAATCTTTGGTCATTTTGTTTCACATGCCAACACTAGATACT